GAACGAATAGGCCGAGCTAAATTATTGAGTGTGAAAGGGAATGATTATGGCATGTACCACAGCCAATTTACACGTCTCAGGGTACAAATTTACAGCTCAAATCAATAAATACCTCCAACTCTCGCTGAGTCGGCAGCAGCGCAGTCTCAACGACGTTGCTGTTTTTCTTCCGTCGATCCGGCCCTCTTTCAACTTTTTCTCACTCTCTTTTCTTTCTCATTTCTATTGTGAGCTTTGCTCTCTCTATTTTCTCTCTCAGGTTGGCTCTGGACGGTGGGTGGGGGTAAATGGACAGTGATTTACTCAGTCAACAGCTTCCTGATCTCCACTTCTTCCCGCACAGCGTGGCGCAGTCTCAGATGATTGACATCCCGCTCCACCAGCGCTGGCTTATGTATCAAACCCGGCTGAAAGGAGTGCTCTGGAACCCCCCGCTAAGATATATCTGGGTTTGGAGACTCCTGCTTCGGAGACTTTTTCAGTGGCGGCTTTTGAAATTGGGTTTTTTTCCCCGACTGGCTGAGATATAAATCGAAATCGTATTTCAAAACCTGACAAGTTGGCTCAAAGAGGAGCAGCTCACAGCAGCAGGAACGTGCACAATAGACACATCAAAGCTGGAAAAAAAGTGATTGATTGTCAGCAGTCTTAACAAATATAACCAAAGGCAGCCTCTGTGGCACCGAAGACGGCCAAATGGAATGACTCGGCACACAGAGCTGCTTCCGAGAGGTCAGAGCAGTTAACTTTAGCCTGTCCAGAACATTAAATAAACTCCAGGAATTCATTCAGTTCGGTTTTCGGGTGATCCGTGCTCTGTGACTCAAATTTCAAGTAATCTCAATTGAAACTGAACTGACCCTATCGCTGAAAGCTGGGTCCATCATTTCCCACTTGTCAGATTATCCTATCGGACTGTCTGTGAATGTGAAGCACCGGCTGCTAACGGGCTGCCCATCTCACTAAAACAAATCCAGCGCACATCAGTGTTTTCTGATCAGGATGCAACTAAAGAGCAGCGTCCGCTGTGCAAAACGTGCCTCGCAATATGCGCTCAGAATGTGTCTGAAATGAACACTCAGTTAACAAAGGCTAAAGCTAATCAAGTTAACTGCATTTAGGAGTGATTACGAACTACTAAAGGGCTCAGCAAAAAAAATAATGGAGCCAAATTCAGTAACGAAGAGTTCAGACTTAACAAGTTAAACTCCTCTTACAAGGATGTAATTCTGTTCCATCTCAACAAACAGAATTAAGCCCTACTGGAGCTGGATTAGTTAGATTAGTTAGATAAAGGATCTGTGTAATTTCTCCAAATTACCCCCAATAGCCCGGATCAAAACATCATCGCACGGACGTTTATATCAGGCACCACACTGCCGAACAATAACAACATGCTGTGCAGCTGAATGGCAAATATGTCCATAAAAAGAAGACACCGGACAACAGACATCTCATTTCAGTGTGTTATCACTATCGGTGAGCTGAAGGGGAATTTGGACTACTTAACCTATTTGTCCTAGCTAGGTATGTTCTCTCACTGGTCAACGAAGTACTTTTGTAAGTCACTCTGGATACGAGCGTCTGCTAAATGGTATAAATGTAAATGTGAATGTATATGTACATGCAAACACACTTAAATAATATGCTATAATTCAGAGTTCATGGTTCCATCGATGACGGCAAGCCGTCTTGTCCCAGATGCAGCAAAACAAACACAAACCATGATACTACCACCACCATGTTTCATAGATGGGATATGGTTTTTATGCTGGAATGCAGTGCTTTTCTTTTTTAACACTTCTCATTTAAACCAAAAAGATCTTGTTTGGTCTCATCTGTCTACAAAACATTGCTCCCATAGCCTTATTCCGGCTTGTGCATGTGATTTTTGGCAAACTGCAGACAGGCAGCAATGTTCTTTTTGGAGAGCAGCAGCTTCTCCTTGCAACCCTGCCATGAACACCACTGTTGTTTATTGTTCTCCTGATGGTGAACATTAACATCAGCCACTGTGATTCAGGCCTTTAGTTGCTTAGAATTAAATCTAATTATCTGCTAATCCTAAAGGTTCACATACTTTTGCTTCGTCAATAAATAAATGACCAAGTCTAATATTTTTGTGTCATTTGTTTAATTTGGTTCTCTTTATCTACTATTAGCACTTGTGTGAAAATCTGATGATGTTTTAGGTCAAATTTATGCAGAAATAAAGATAAAACATGTTCATAAACACACACACACACACACACACACACACATATATATATATATATATATATATATATATATCCCTGCTGTCGGAAGAAAACCTCGGATCTACACTTTTGTCGTTTTCCTGTTTTTGATATTACATAAAATTGGCTGCTAGTCTTTACACTGTGTCTAAGTAAAGTAATGTAAAGTAGGTAAAGTTACCATTTTGGACATACAAGGTTTCGTTCTGACAGCAGCGATATATATATATATATATTTATATTCTGTTGGTCTCTGACTTTTGCACAGTACTGTACACCTGCTTCGTATAAACCGCAGGGCAGTCAGCGTCCTCTCTGCACCTGAACCTACTTCAAAAGGCTGTTCGGTTTACTCGTGTACGTGTGTGAGTGACAGATCAAAAATAGAAACCCTTTTTCCTGCTTGCATTTCTTTACATAAGTACTAACCTTTGAGCTCGGCAGCGAAGTGGTCAGCCTGCCTTCGTCTGTAAATCTGTATGTGTCCACATATACATATGTATGTGTACGTTTGTTTAAGGCTGCAACAAGAAATGGACGTGACATTTCAATCTTTGTGATGTGAGGGGATGAAGCTGAGCACCTCCTCCCTGAACACCATCACAAAAATACATTATTCAAATCTGAGAATTAGCATTCAAAAGCTAAACGAGCACAGATATGATTTATTTTCTCAGCTTTAGCCTCGGACGTTCAGAGACGGGCCCGCGATCGGCTTCCGAGGCACGTCTGTCCCTCCACCCCGTCCCTCTCTCCGTCTCTCGAGCGTTACTTTCGCTCAGACTCAATGACACCCTGCTCATGGGTAATGACTAGCATTGTTTAGGTGAAGCTGCTACCAGCCTGTCAACCTCTCAAGGGTCTAGATCATCACACAGCACAAACCACATGTGTCAGAACCACCGGACTGAAGGTGGGGGCAGATGTTTGGAACAACAGCGGCCACGAACACAGACCTGACTGGAGAAATGAGGTGGAAACAGTGGTGGAAGTTTCCTTACAGCATATTTAACCCAACAGAAGTTCCACGCAGCGTTGCGTAGCATCATGGAGCAACATGTAGTCTCACGTAGCAGAGGCAGTACCAAGTGCAGCCATACCTGACAGAACATGTAGCAGTGAGAGCTCCAACAAACGTCAAAGTCAGGTTCATTCTCACACTCTAATCATACATTCTTAAGAAAAGCTGGTTCTTCAAGGGTTCACTAGTAAAGACCAGGGTTCTTTATAGAGCCATCACACTCAAAGAGCCCTTCAGTCTGATGGAGAATGGAGAATGGGCTGTGGATTGATGGACAATGTGTTGTAGATGGTTCTATATAGAACCTTATCGAAAAGGATTCAATAAAGCACCAAAAATGGGTTCCACTATTGTTACAAGTCAAAGAACGCTTTTTGGTACTATATAGAAACATACACTTTTATTAAGAAGGGTTCTTAACGTCCATATATGGCATTCTTTGATGGAGAATGTGCTGTAGATGGTTTTATTTAGAACTTTATTGAAAAGGGTTCCATATGGTGCCAAAATAGAACCCTTTTGGCTAAGAGTGGCTCTATATAGAACCTTTTTGGAAAGGGTTTTAAATAGCCCCAAAAAAGATTACGCTTTTTGTTACATCGCATTCTCCATCAATCTGAAGAACCATTTCACCACGCAAAGAACCGTTTAAGCATCCAAATGCTTCTTTGAGTGTTTGTGATTCTACACAGAACCATTGTCTTTACTAAAGAACCCTTGAGGAACCATCTTTTTGAAGAGTGCAGGAATTGAATGAATTAAACTTTGTATAGAGCCATATACAACACATTATCCAACAATCTGAATAAGGATTTCACCATGGAAAGAACCATTTAGGCATATATGGAACAGATGGTTCTAAACAGAACCATTCCCTTTACTAGAGAACCCTTGAGGAACCATATTTTTTAAGAGTGCAAGTTTGATTAAGTTTGGAGCTTTAATTTCATGAGAAATTGAGGAGAGAACGTTAAAAAAGTTAAACCAACTTAAACGTAATATCCATAACGCAAAAAGGTACTACTTTTTCTGGCGGAAGAACTTTACAGCACATTTTATACAGTGTTAGGGGATTTGTTGCTTTAGTTTTTAATTCTTTTTGCAGAACCATTGTATAAAAGCAGGTCGTGTGTTATGGTGAATAACCTCACAGCTGTGATGATGCTGCACTCACCTTGAGCTCGTACCTGGGACCGAATCACAGCCGTGATGTTATTTGTGATAACGCACTCCTATCCTGTTCTATTGCTTTAGAAATGTGCTGCTATCACAAAAAATATGATTTGGTCATCATAACTAACTGTTGTCTAATAATTTGCTGTTAACTATTGGAAACAATGCTGCTGCTAAATGACTCTAGTTGTACACTGACATTTTTTCCAGTTTAGCTCATCATATCAAGCTGAGAAATCATGCAGCAATTTTAAACTGCTTTGATGCTTTGTCACATGTTGATTTCAATTAAAGGCAAGCGTAATTCATTACGTATGTAACTATGTAACTAAAATGAAAATTATACAGCAAGTCAACAATAAAACCTCTCCACTTCTGCAGATTTAACCATGTTAGTCAATTCACCCAGCAGTTTTCTTTTAAAACTTTCTTCTGAAAGGCCATTGTCCACTCAGTGCCTGATTTTGAACTAGTTTACATGTAATGTTGGTGAATTACCATGGAAACTAGCCTAAAAACATTTCTGCTCCACTCATTTCCTCCATAGGAATTGATGAAGTGGTGCTTACCTATAGATGTGGTTGCAGGAACCGGGTCCTTGGACACTGTGAGGGTTTACAAAAGAAGGCAGAGAAAAAAAAAACATTAATCAATCTGCATTGTGCCAAAACATTCGGGGAAATAAAGGCGGTCACTGAAGGAGAGTTCGGTACCTGAGTAGTAAGAGTTGAGGAGCGATTTACTTTGCAGCGTCTTGCCCTGGACGGAGAAGGAGCAGGGAGACGAGGAGGCTGCAGGAGAAAGAACGACACAAAGATTGTTTATCAGCTGTGAGCATCTAAATGATCTTCAGACGCTCACAGATTAATAAAGAGTTCTGTAGTGAAGGCAATGGTTCTATTAAGATCCAACTGTTCTATATATATATAACCATTTGCATGCTTAAGTGGTTCTTAAGTGGTGCATGGTGACTTGGTTCTTCAGATTCACTGAGAATGTGTTGTGTGCAGTTCTATATAGAACCTTTTTGAAAAGCACCAAAGCACGGCTGTTACAAGCTTGACTATTGCAGAACCCAACAAAGAACCAAAATAAGAGCCATTTCACCAGGCAACCATTTAAGCATGCAGACGGTTCTTTGAGTGTTCATGGCTTAATATAAAATTACTGTCGTTACTAAAGAACTCTTGAAGAACCTTTTTTTTAAGTGTGTAGAACCGTGCAAAAGTCAGAGACCCCTCATTTATTTAATTAACTCCCAGTCAAAACAGCCATTAAAGTACATTATTCATTTTTCAGCAGAAAACATGTCTAATAGAAAATGACTGAATATGATATCCGTATTGAGTTTGTCCACTCTTTGCATGTATTAGTGATTGTGCAGTTCGCAACACGACTGTTACCTGACCGCACATTCTTCCTGTTCATATTCAATTATATACAATTACTGTTAGATGACCATTTGTTTTTCTCATAGGAGTGAATGGGGTGCAAAATGTCACATCTCATTTATGTCATTAGGAACATCCTATTAACCATGTGATGACCCACAGCAACCACCTAGCCACACCCTAGCAACCACCTGGGATGCCATAGCAACCACCCAGTAACACCCTAACAACCACCACCAACACCCTAGCAACCACCTGACCACCTGGGATGCCCTAGTATCCACCCAGTAACACCCTAACAACCAACGACAACACCCTAGCAACCACCTGGAAACTGCTTAAGCAGATGCACTTTTCTAGTTGCAGCTTCCATTCTGTTCAGGAGACTCACTTTCAGCTCCTCAAAGAATCTGCAGACACACCTCCAAAGTTCAGTCTTAGAAGCTGGTTGATCATTTTCTGAAGTAATCAAACACATTCAGTGGTGTTGAGGTCTGGACTCTGGGGTGGTCAGTCCATCGTTCAGCTTCTTTGTTTGATGTGTCCGTCTCCTTTTCTCAGTGAGGTTCTTCTTGACAGCTACACATCCTTTCAGACCCACAGCGCTGAGTCGTCTTCTCACAGTGGAAGGATGGACAGAAACACCTGTGGATGTTTTCAGATCGGAAGCAGCTTGATTTTCTCCTCTCTCTCAGAGATGAAAGCTTTAAGTGCTGCTTATCTGATGGGGGCAGTTTTGGGGTCGACCAGCTCTTCCAGGTCGTTGTTAGGAGCCACATTTTCTCTGTAGCTTTTAATCAGTTTTTGAAACTTCAGTTTTGGAAACTTCTGTTTTCCTTTGACTGTCTCCTTCTGTATGCAGTTAATATCGTATATCTAATCTCAGAAATTAATATGTTGTACTGAATGTCCATTTTGGCTGGAAATTGAATAAATGAAGGTCTCTGACTTCTGCACAGTACTACACACCTATGCACACATCTATTATGAACTACAGTATGGAAAACATTAGACAATGTGACAATAATGTAAAACAGTGGTACCACTGGATTTCTTGGGGTTAGTGATCAAACATGAGCTTCATTTAAAGGTTGGCACTGTGTTTAACTGAAAAAAGTGCTGCACAGCTGTAGACTGACTAAACTCCCCTCAACAGCCTCCTCTGTCACTCGAATCCACAAGGTGTATAATGAGAATGACAGGCTACAATCATAGAGGAGTTAAACCACTGACTGCATATGGATTATTCTACTGGGTCAGCTGAACTCAGCTCACACAGAAAAAAAAAATAAATAAAAATGAGGTATTCAGATCTCAGATATTTGCATGATTGTGTTCTGAACTAGTCAAACCCAAGGCCTTACTAGAGATAGTAATAAACTAAATATATACAAAATCATCACTTATAGGCTACTTTCTATTAGAAGGTGTCTGTCCCGAACCCTAACCTCTAAATTTAGACTTGTAAAAATAATATATATATTTTTTGTGTTGTTTTAAAAGATATTTTTGATTTCTTTTAAAGTTGAAAGATTTAGATTTATCGTCAGATAAGATATAAAAAAAAAACAAACAAAAAAACAAAAAACAGTGGCCCACGTTTTCATGTCACTAACAAATCACAAAAGAGTTTCAGTCTGTGGGCGGAGCCTGGTTTTAGCCACGCCCCTGCACTTTAGCGCAGGAAGTGAGGCTGCATCCCTGTCCCTCATGGCCACATGGTGAGCAGTCAGATCCCATTGTTTTGAAGTAAATGTGTCTGAAAATCAGTGTGGAACATTAAGAATCGTCATATTTTCTGCAGTTCAGAACTTTTTAGTGTTTTAATGAAAAATATGATGATTTTCTGTGTGAACAGCTGTTTAAAGCTGTGTTTGCTGGTCATGTTCTGGCTGAGTTTCTGAGCTCAAAATGAGCTAAAATTGTCACAGAAACAGTCACTACTGACACATTTGGTACAGTTTGGGTAGAGTAATGATTGTTATGGTAGAGAAAATTATCCAATCCAAATTTATTTCAATAAAATAAACATAATTAAGGGATAGGGTCACTCAGGGTGAAATGATTTTAACCAAAGGCACTAAAAACCATATAAACCTTGTTTGTTATGTCAGCTTATTATGCCATTATCTTTTTACTGGTTATTTGCTGGTGCATTTTGTCAGTTTCAACCTCACAAACCTCCAAAATATTAAATATTCTGATACAAACAGTATCGTGTATCATGAAACTGTATCGTGATGTTTTTTGCCATTTTGCCCACCCACAGCTAAAACTGATTCACACTTATAATGATGCACTTCTAGGCTATTTCAGTCAGCTAATTCCACATGATTCACTGATTTTAAGCACCGAAAACTGTATTTGATTGTTGACGAATATTTTCAGCACACGCAAATGTTCCTCCACCAGTGTTTATCTGACACACAGCTCACACAAACCCTCGGTATCTGCAAGACTGTGAATCAGCCGAAGCACCAAGCACGACCCACAGAGTCAAAACACACTGACTCATAAGGAAACTAAACCTGGCTCTTATTGACGTGTGCAGAGCCGTCGTCGTGTCCTGCTCTCCACTGAGACGCGCTCGCCCTCTGCTTCTGCAGCACTGGATCTGGGGTACTTTACATTTTAATGACCAACAGCACAATCTACACAGGACCTCTCCCTGCGCGACCCTCCGCGTCTGACGTGGGATGGTATATGCTAATGCTAAAGCGTGCGGCTCTCCGCTATCTGTTAAACAAAAACTGCTTCCGCAGCAAAAGCTCCAATCAGCGGGTCGGCCGGGTTCATCTGAGAGTGTGTGAGTGTTGAAACAGAGAACGATCTCGCTGCAGGTGTCTCTGTGTTCATTTAGATGGTAATAGCCTTCCAGTGCTGAAGTTGCGGGTTCTGCGCAACAATCAGGCATAAATCTGTATCTGACAGAAGTTCCAGCACATCTCAAACCACGACACGCTTACAAAACATGAAAATGCCGTGGCTGATAAGTCAGACTGGTGGGCTGTGCACATACTTAGCATTAAACTCTGAAAATCTGCGGTTTCCACTGCTCACTCACTGAATAACTCACTTTAAAGAACTTAAAAGGGAAATTCCACTGATTTTTTCAATTTCTGCATAATTAAATGACTAAGATATAAACAGAGTGGTTCAGAGTGGTTTGGTGTGAAACGCTCTGTTATAGAGAAACTTACTGAGTAAAGCTGTTCACAGTGGTGGTGATAGGAACCAGACGACCACCTCTAAAAGCTCCCTCACAGAAAGTTACTACATGAAATGGTTATGAATTCACTGCCTACTAAGGTTTCGAGGTAAAGACTGGCTTAAAATATACATTTTCCTAATCCGTTTATGGTGGAGGGATACATGCAGGGCGCTGTGAGGCAAAATAGTCCCCAAAGAAAACTTATGATTTCAGATTTTCCACTATTTTCCATCATCAACATTCCATATAAACTCAGAAGACTCGTGTAGGTTCACTGGTGGTTCTGGATAGTAAATAAAATGTCTATATTTGTGTTGTAGTCATGGCGACCCCTGGTTCCTATCACCACTGTAAAGACATCTGAACCACTTCACACCAAACCACTCTGAATGACTTTATGTACTTATCAATGACTAAATCATACAGAGATTTTGAAAAATCCATGGAATTCCCCTTTAAAGCGGTTCTTTTATTGCGTTGCTTCAAAAAACCCATTTAAGAGTGCAACACAGACTGAGAAATGCTTTACTAAAACACAGAAAAAATGTTATTTAGTGAGTGAAGTCATCTTATATATAGTGTAAATATCTAATATTACTCATTTTGAGACTGTTGTAAGAATATTATAGTATTTCTCAACTTATTTCTACTTTTTTCCACCTGATTTAAGTAATTTTGTCTTATAACAGTGTCGCATTAGGGCAGATCATTTTACTTGTTTTAAGAAACAGTGCAAACAAGCAAAAGTACACCGCAAAAATGGTATATTGTCCAGTAAAATTATATTAAACACAGTCAATAAATCTTATATTGCTCATGTTGTAACTGCTGTAAGCTTAATTTAACATAATTTCACTTATTTCTAGACATTTTTACTTCTTTTAAGTAATTTATTAAGTAAAATAATCTCACTATATTGGCAGATAATTTTACTTGTTTTTAGAAATAATTTTGTTTAATAAAATTACTCAAAACAAGTAAAAATTGTATAGAAGTAAGCAAGATTATCTTACAATAAGTGCACAACCATCTCAAAATGGGAAATATTAGACAGATCGACTAGATTTAAGATGATTTTACTTGAATAGATACCATATTTTCAGTGTACAGTATCAAAGGCATAAGAAACTTTTGCTGGATAAAAATACTGAAAACAAGTCTAGAAGTAGTCTAGAAAGCTAGAAATAAGTTGATTAGTCTTATTACCAATCTCAAACTTAGTTCTATTAGATATTTTGACTAGATTTGCAGTGATTTTACTCACAAATATATACTTTTTTGCAGTGAGGCTGTGTATAGAAAGCGAAGCTGGCAGTGTTTGGTTTGTGTATGGCTGATTCTGTGTTAAACTCCACATTCTGCTGATGTTCCTTCCTAAGGAAGTGCTGAAGGTGCACTGCGCAGTCCTGGTCCAGTGATGAGCTACAGCGTTTTAGCAGCATGTTCTCTGCAGCAGCGTCAAATCTCAGGCCATTAACGGAGACGGCACTGAACACAGTGCCACCCAGAAGAAAGCCATTCTACAGTGGGAAATAAATAAATAAAACCGCACAAATAAACAAACAACTGCTGCCTAATCACTGTGGTAAACCCAAAAATTCACATAATGTGATTATTGAGTATTATCATGTCGCCCTTTTCTCTCTCTGCATCTCGCTCTTTCAGGCTCGCTCTCTTTTCTCGGACTGACCAGCCCCATTCAAATGAGTCCATTCACAAAGGCCACGGTGACATTTTGTGCAGAAAGAGACTCAGAAAGACCCTTCCTAATTACAGCCCCGTGCGCAGCAGGCCAGCGGCACTTAAGACAGAGAAAAGAGGGGAGCAAAAAACCCACCGGCCAGCCTAAATGCCACTCGCGCTCCTTTTCTTCACCCAGTCCTTGGAAAGAAGTCGATGCGAACGGCCTCTTGATACGTAGAGTGCTTCCGTTTTGTTTGGGCAAAAAGCGGCTCTCTGAAACGGTCAATACGAAGGCGAACGCGGTGGAGACGGACAGACGGAGAAAAGGACAGTAATGCGAATCTCAGAAAAGAGAGGAGAGGGTAAAAAATTACAGGTGGCTGACCCCTCTCGGAGGCCGAGGCTGATGAGAGTGGCGTTCGTTCGAGGCATTTATAACGGCGGTGGGACGAACGGGCTGTTAAAACAGAGCGGAGCACTCCGGCTCTCCGACAGGTCACTGCATTCGGAGGCCTGAAGCTATTACCTGACCTCTGAAGAGGTGGCAGAGGCGAGATCATTAGATCTGAGTGGAGGAGGCGCATTAAAGCAGCCGTTTCTTGGAAAGCCTGAATTTTCCTGGCTTTTTTTCTTTTTTCAAAACAGTTTGTTGCACCATATTTTCAAATGTCCATAAAGTCCTTATAGTCCATGTATGAGCATTAAGCAGCTAAAAAACAGGCTATTTTGGTATCAACACGGTTGGGAGGCTACAATGTTCTAGCAAAGGAGGCTAACATGATCAGACAGATTTCTTTTCTATTTCCTTTTGGTGTAAACCAACTAAGAAAACATGCTAATGTGTTAACCCTCTGGGGTCCACAAACTCATCAAATTCTCTGTATCTGTATCTGTGTCTGTATATTTGTGATGATCCAGCTCAGAAATCCAGTTCAAACACTTCCTGAATCTGTAGAGTCGCCCTTTCCATTCCATCTTATCACGAGATCATACGAGACTCACATCCGGAGTTATGAGCCTATGAAGAGGGGCTGAGATACACGTCATCTGCCTCTCACCGTGTGGAACTGGTGGATTGGTGTGTCTGTCTACGTTCTGTGTGAAACTGACCGATGGACACTCAGGAAATCACTAAGCACTGACCATCACGCCAGAAACCCTTCATTCTTCATTCAGTCCACATTGGAGACTCGTGTGAAATGGCGTGCAGAGAGTTTACAGCTGCTGAAGCTGCTGCAGCGGTTTTGGAAAGTAGTGATGAAGATAACAGAGCATTTAGATATGAAACATATGAGGATCATGTTTATATGAAGAGACTTTAAAGGAGAGTTTAGAAAGATGTGCACAAATTGAGAAAATGACCTCAGACCACAGAGAGATAAAACATTTTAAAAAACAGGTGTCAGAAACAACGTTACCGAATCCGTTGAGGTCCTGGTTACTGGTGGAGAAAGGGTCGTCCTTGTGCAGGGTGCTGACTTTGCCGGTGCTTTTGTCCGCCGTGCCGACCGGCCCCATCTCTCTCTGAGTGCTGCTGCTGGCGGTCTCCTTCTGTTTCTTAGCCAGTTTCCTTCAAAAATCACCCACAAGAGAAGAAGTTCACACATCCAGTCCACAACACAGAGAACAGAGAGTACACGAGTGTCTAAAAAGACTGGAGAACCATTAATGTTCACTATCTGTCCAAAAGTGTCTCAGTATAATCTCCATAGAAAAGCACTGACCGATAGAAGGGGACGCTCTGGAGCAGCTGCACATGTGAAGCAGTGGAACTATGTTCTCTGGAGTGATGGAGCTCCATCCAGTACCTTTGGGATGATTATTGATCCAGAACTGACCATCCAACATCAGTACCTGACCTCACTAATGCTCAATCAAATCCTCACAGCAATGTTCTAACATCAGTACCTGACCTACATCCTTAAAAAGATGGTTCTGCAAGGGCTCTTTAGTAAAGAAAGTAGTTCTATATAGAACTATGTACACTCAAAGAACCCTTTCCATGATTAAAGGGTTCTTTGCATGGTGAAATGGTTCTTTAGATTGATGGAGAATGTAATGTAGATGGTTATAAATAGAACCTTTTTGAAAAATGTTCTTCTATTGCACCATGTCAGGCTTGTAAAAATAGAAAAACCCTTTTTGATGCAATATAGAACCTTTTCCAGAAAGATTCTATATAGAACCCTCTACAGTACATTCTCTGAAGAATGCTTTCACCATGAAAACCATTTAAGCATGCAAAAGGTTTTTCTTTACTAAAGAACCCTTCAGGAACCATCTTTTCTAGGTGTAGGGGTGAGCTGTATGACAATTTTTTATCGTTATTGTGATCAGTTGTTGAAATACGCTTCTCGGGGCTTATCATGGATATCGTCAGCACTTAAAGAACTCTAACCAAACTCATGTTTCATTACATAGAGAGTGTAAGTGTCCTGCTTAACGGGCAAACACTGAATAAACATCACTGTACTTATAGATGATGACAGTATTTTTTTAATTGAGATAGTGGACCTTTTTTATTATTAAGCCTCAGAAAAACGAAACATTGTGATGTCGCTGTTGTTGGAACAATGTGTCATATCTCCATTTTTTCAGTTTTAGACATGATTTGAAAATGCCTGTAAAGAGCAAAAACGACAAAAATAGAGACAAAAGGTTTTGTTCCGACAGCAGTGATATCACAATGTTTCGTTTTTTTGAGGCTTAATAATAAAAAAGTGCAATCTCAATTAAAAAAAAAAGTCAAAATGATGAATGGACCATAAGAAACGACCCAAAATGACTAGGAAAAACGTCTGGTTCCATTGGCTTACATTAAAATTAAAGTATGTTTTTTCCTTCTCCTGTAAAGTTACCATTTTGGAGATAAAAGGTTTTATTCCAACAGTAGCGATATGTAAATGAGCTCTGTTCTTATTGGCTGCTCTTTATTGCTTCTCATTCAAAAAAACAGTCCTGGCTGAAACACTCCTTATAACGTCAGTGGGAGTGAGCGGAGCTAATATTTGCCATGTTGCTCACCCCCAAACCTAACCTCACTAATGCTCTTGTGGATGCTGAACACAATCAAATCCTCACAGCAGGGCTCCTGAGTGGCGCAACCATCTAACTGTCAGCCCTATTATCAGGAGATCGCAAGTGGCCTCACTCTCTCTGGGTGGGTAGGATGCACCACCCCCCATCACCCCATCACAGTGCTAGCTGGCGCAGGCATCTATTAGCTTACTGCAAAAATTATCAACAACAGAAATGATCTTAAATCTAATCCAAATACCTAATATTTCTCATTTTGAGACGGTTGTACAAATATTATAAGATTGTAAAACTTATTTGTAGACATTTTTGCTTGTTTAAAGTAATTTTATTAAATAAAATTATCTCACTGTACTGGCAGATAATTTTCGAGCATATTTCCTAAAATAAGCAGAATTATCTGCAAATATAGTGAGATAATTTTACTTATTAAAATGACTTTAAACAAGCAAAAATGTCTAGAAATAAGTTAAATCATCTTATTATAAGCTAACAACAATATAATTAGGAATATTAGAAATTTAGACTAAATTCAAGACCATTTTACTTGCCAATAAACCATCTTTTGCAGTGCATCCAGTGTAAAGCCTTCCCAGAAGAGTAGAGGCTGTTACTGCAACAAAGGCCCCATTAATTAACTCCCTTCATTTCAGAGGAAACTCTGGAGTCTCCAGACTTTTGGACAGATAGTGTATATTTTAGATTGATTTCATGCCGGTTTACTCATCCAAGCTTGTCAGGGTCTGTAGAGGTAAGAAGATTTCTATAACAATGTTTTTTTTCCATTAACATCATGGCCAGACCAAACTTCGCTGTACGTTTTGGCCGAGTCCAGTCTGATCACAACACAGATCAATCAACATGCTGAAACTCTGCAGGCAAAGTCGAGTAATAAATCTGACTACTGTATAACAGATGCTAAAATAAGGCCGTGCTGACGGACGTTTGACTGAGTGGTGATCTCAAACGAAGTGCTGAAAAATGAGCTACACTTCAGTTTGGAATTAAAGTTTGCTGCTGAGATCAGTCATGGCAATGTGAGTAAGTAAACACGCCTCTGTGAGGTTAACAGATGAATACAGACAGTAGTATAAAAACACAGCATGCATTTCTAAAGTAACAAAGCACAACAAACATAAACACAGACATAAACAAGCCAAACACAACGACAACAGGGTTAACAGCTGGAGAAAAAGAAGCAGGATCTTTGTAAATGTTTTCTTTTTGTCCACTTGCTGATCACTGCAAAATAATGGTTTACTGTAAAACTGTCTTAAATCTAGGCTAAATATCTAGCATCCCTAATTTTAAGATTGTTGTAACCTTATAAGATTATTTAACTTATTTCTAGACATTTTTACATTTTGAGTAATTTTATTAAGTAAAATTCTCTCACTATAGTGGCAGATAATCTGACTTATTTTAAGAAATGTGCTTGAAACCAGCAAAATTATGATACGATAATGATAAAATTACTTCAAATAACTGAAAAACATCTAGAAATAAATTTTATAATCTTACAGTGTTCATACAACCATCTCAGAATGAGGAACATCACAAATTCAGACTAGATTTAAGATGATTTCTCTTGTTAAGATTTCATTTTTTGCAGTGATCCTGGGACAAACTGGATATTAATGAATGTTTGGTTGTAAAATCTGCAGTGATGTATTATTAAATAAGCCAGAAGTATTTCTCATGTGTAAGAGGAACATCACTCTGATTTTAAATGTCCAACTTTGCCAGGTGGAACAAAGCGCAAGCATGTCCTGTTTGTTCGTGTAGAAACATTTCATACATATGTTCAGTCTGTATATCGCTTTAATTTGACCTTTTCCATCAAACAGTGCACTTCTGTTTTTTAACCATCATTTTTATGCATCAAACTGTCCAGCAATACAGTGAATGTGTTTACATGCACTTGATAATCAGATCATAATCGGATTTCTGCAGTTATCTGATTATTCAAATGGTCAAATAATCACCATACTCTGATCTAGAAATCCGATTAAGAAATCCGATAAAGAGGCTGGATTTCAGCTCAGTAATCAGATTTCTCAGTGCATGTAAACTCATTCTGATTTCTTTCAGATCTCTCAGTCTGCGCATGAGCGAGATCAGATGGTGGATGTTGCGAGACACAGCATAACACTGTTAGAGCGGCGCTGAAACCAAACACGAAACAAAGGATTTAAATATTCTTCATCTTCTAGATGTCATATTTTCAAGTGGCGCGATGTTTTAAAAAAAGCCGCTGTATGAATTTTTTACATTATGTTTACGTCACGTCTTATTCTGTGAGTTTACTGGCTGGTTGCAAATCAGAAATCTGATTATTGTCTGATTCATGTAGACTTGGAGTTTTCCCGTTATCTGATTACTCAAGTACATGTAAACATGTTGATCAGATTACTGACAAAATCTGAGTTTGTGCAGTTATCGGATTATTAAGTGCATGTAAACACAGTCAGTGGTGCAGTGCACCGTTAGAAAGCTCGTAATCTCAGGATTCAATTCCCACAAACCGTTTTATGATCCACTATTCACAGCAGTTACGATTGACTTCGATTGAGTCAACAGGGTGTTCCTAATGGACTTGTATCAACATGACATAAATGATTTGCACAAACTTTTGCACCCCATTCATTCCTATGAGAAAACAATTGTCATCAATTGTCATTCAATAATAATTGAATATAACTGAACATGAACCAAGAATAATAATATACTGTTGGATAATAATAGTATCAGTAATAAATGTAGAGTGGACACACTGATATCATATTTAAATGTTTTCTATCAGACCTATGTTTTCTGCTGAAAAAATAATACATTGATACTTAATGGCTGATTCGACTGGAAATTAAATAATTAAATTGTTGTCTCTGAGTTTCACCTGTTCTATATTAACTTAATATTATTGGAGTTGCTCTAAATGTTCCTCTTATCAGTGATAAGCTCATCCTCCAGGTTTAAAGGCCCGAGGCAGTGTCAGTGTTTATTACAGACTCTCTTCACTGCTGGTATTAACATCAGTCATTCCAATAAAATAAGTTTGCTCTCACTTCAGCAGATCCCTTCAGTGACCTCGCCACATCCTCTCCACACTCACGGCACAAACAGCAACCGAGAAAATAAGACTTCATCTTCTTAAGCTCTCCTTGGCCTGGCGAGAGGAGGCACTTTGGAAATAATATTATAATATTACTGTCCTGCTCTCCTCTGAAAGCAGAGCAGCCTTTCAGACTGGCGATGTTTCTGTCTGAGTTTGTAAGTGAACATATTACTGTGGGTCAGTGCAGGTGACGGTCAACAGGGGGAATAAACATCACTCATAAAGCAGTAATAAGTGAGACGGCTCCTCTTTAAACCCCAAAATCAGGTGCCGTCTGGATATGTTGCCTATAAAGTGCTGATGCTGAGAATGATTTCGTGCACATAAGTGTACTTGAGAAGGTTTAAAGGATAACTTCACCGATTTTAGCAAATTTCTACAACGAAAGAGAGATAGAGAGAAAGAAAGAAGAGAGAAAT